AGCTCACTGAGGAAGTTTCTACAGGTAAACACTTGCTAACATCCATCAGAAACCTTATCCATAGTCCAAAGATTGTGACTTACTATCTGCTTATTTGTCATAATCATTTTTAATTATTGCCAGTTGAACCAGAAGGCAACTTTCTCTAGAATTTTCATCTGACAATTTCAGTTGTCCTAGCTTAGTTTCAAGCGAATTTTATGTAGTCTGTTTCACATAAAGTCCATTATAACTCGACTGGGTAGATTGAACAATCATTGCAAAACACTAGACCAACGTTTCGCCTTAAAACACCACTTGATAGCCCAGAAAGTAAGAAATAAGTTTTCCTTTTCAGTTGTGGTATTTTGAGGTGCACATATGTTTCTTAAGAATTATCGAGTAGAGTAGACAAAATAAAGGGAGGTCTGACAGAAAATGTATTATAGAACGAATCACAATTCTTTGACTTTAACTGAGTTTGAATAATGAAAGAAATAGGATATAATCTATAGCAAAATGAAGCAATCGTTATTCAAATCACAAAAATAACTAAGGGCAAGACAGTGCACAATAATTTATGCCGTTACTATCTCTTTGAAATTTATTATATCTGTGATTATTCTTTTAATATTGGGGCAGCATAGTATTATATACATTTCTAAGGGCACATATGCAACTGTTGATCATTCCTAATGAATAACTGAGGCTACACTTTTAGGGTATCACTTGATATGCTAGTGGAAAAGAGCACTGCAAATTTTTACATAGTTAGTTCAACCTTACAGAAATATTTTCCATGAGAAATTGCACTTGATATCGAAAGTGAATGACCCGGTACAATAGATATCTAGAGCAAAAGGAACTTAGTGATTTTTATGACCAATTTTATTTGCTGCTATCACATACACCCGCATGTATAAAAATTCTAAAAATTGTAAGTTAAACAAGGAAATACAAAACAAGTGACTGTCCTAGCTGATTCGTATTCATAACTAAATGATGGTGCAAAGAGGCACCTGCTTCCAACTACTCTATTTCTGTGCATCTGGGGAGGTCCCTTTTTTTCTGAAAGTCAAAAGATCCACACATCCTTACAAGTGTGACATATTTGGGCTATGTTTTCAATTGGATGACTTGAAGTGCAGTTGTGATGATATGACATGTAGTACAACACTTTGTCACTACATAATGTCAAGTACTTGTCCAATGAATATTGTCTCAGAGCTTTGTATCTTTAGAGATTTTGAAGATGGTGCATTCTCAAAAATGTAATGTCCTAAGGCTAAGGTCATGGTGGGGTATCTCGGTGCATAACTCTCCCTGCCATTATTGACATCGCAATGACGTGATATGTGATACCACTCTTCATCATCACATCCCATCATGTCCTTGGATGGGTTTGGGGGGATCTTTAATATGTCTTCCAGCCTAGAAGTCTCCTATCTATCTCCCAATCATGCATAATTGTAGCCAGATGCCACCTGCCCCACCTGACAACATTCTGATGAAATTGAACAAACTATGTCCAATGAGCAAGCCTGGATACTCTTTTCGGCTCTTGATAACTCCACATAATGCCTTGTGATTCCAGAGCTTGTCCATGAGTGCCTTACAGACCCATAGAAACCACTAAAGTAAGTTTGGAGATATTCAGTTAATCAAACATTTGTTTAAGAACTCCAAATAATTTATTTAGAATAGACTAATCGTATTTGATAATGATTAACTATTCGTGATTCTTCTTATATTTTCATACCTAATAATGTTAGGTAGCATACCAAAATTGGTGTTTTTCATATGAATATGGTTAAACATGAGGCTTTGTGGTGTTCATATTCACTGTTGTTCATTATAAAAGCCAATAGTTCTTTCAAAAGGCGGGTTAAAAACTTAAGAACAAAGTGAACGTGGACAGTAGAGGAAAACTAACAAACAAACACTAGCGTAGTTTGAAAAACAAAATTGTTGATTTACCAAACACGGTGTTAGGTTACCAAAACTGGATACTGGGATCAAGAAAATAAAAAAAACAATGGAGAGATAAAGAGGATTCAAGAGACAGAATTGTGGAAATTACTAATTTAAGTTTCATAGCAAAACAAAGGAAGTCAGGTATCCTACAAGTCCACAGGCTGCTTTCTTCAACAAATCTTATACGTCCCATTTTAAGCCAAGCCAGTTCTACAAACACACCAATATCAGTAAGGATGAACAAAGGTCAGAGTGGTGATAGAAGTTTTTGTAGTTTACCTGTTACTTGTGATTAAGAGTATATGTAATTATTATTCTCGAATTTGTATCAGCTCTTCTGTTAGAAATTATTACATAATTACAAGAAGTCCATACAGAAATACATACTCACTGATGTTTCTTCGATTCTCTTCTTAGTCTCTGGATGAAGATTTCTCATAATTATTAATTGAACCTAAAGTTTTTGAGCAATAATTTACTTTTATGAATTATCTGTTCTCGTTAATCTGTTAAACTAGTTCGATTTATTATTTTATTCTAACAAATAGCGCTAATTCCTATTTCTATTGATAAATAACTAAGTTCAGTGATCTCTGTGACATCGAAATAAAATTGGATTTATTTTTGTTTTGTCATCGGCTACTTGCAGTTCATCAATATTGGAAACTTTTGTTTGAAGTGAAGGAATATGTTTGCTGCTATTACTACGATACATAGGATCATTAGAATTGAATTTACTATATTCTATACATTGTCTGATTTCTAATTCTCATATACGTTGCTTAGACTCACTGATTCTTAGTTCTAATTCTAACGTTGTACTGACGTGTGCTTTCCTTATTTTCTCATCTTCTACGGCGAATGTTGTTTCTGGCTTTATTTTATCAGACCATATTCTTTCTGAGGCTTCTTTTGTCAAAATACTCTGTAGATGTGAAAGCCTAAGATTTACCTGGTTGTGAGTCATGTTGGTTTATGGTAAAATAATACCTTGTCCGTGTGAGGAGCGATTTTGCATTCATTGTTTTATATTTCTCAGTAATTGTATATCTTTGTCTCTTTGTTGTTCGAAATCCCATGTAAATTCATAATTTTTGGGTCACATTTATTATTGCTCTTACTTGATTAACTTCTATTTATCTGATTTCAATTTACTCGTAACATACATATTAGAATGTTTTCTATCAGGTCTGTGCACAACTTCAAAATTGTAGTCTTGTAACAACAAAGAATATAGTGTTAATCTAGAAGATGAGTCTTTCAAAGTCATCAACCACCTTAGTGCACATGATCCATAATAATGGTCAATTTTCTACTATGTAAATAACACAAAATGATTTTATACCCTGTACTACTCTTAAGCATTTCGATACTGAATACTTTTTTTCTGCTTTTCCAAGTCGTGAATGTAGTTAGAAATTAAGTACTCCTTCCACTTTCTATCTAACTTGGATAAAACTGCTCCCAATGTATTCTCTGACGCATCAATATTTAATATAATTTCTTTACTAAAGTCTAAGGATGGATATGTCAAAGATTTTCCGAATTTTTAAAATGCTATCTGTCTCGCTTAGTCGACTTAAATTTTACATCTTTCTTCATTAGCTCAGTTAGGGGTCTATTGAAGGATGCAAAGTGCGGGATAAATATTTGGCAGAAACCCATGAATTCACGAAATGCTCTGAAGTCTTTGGAACTGGATATATTTTAGACTGGATAGAGTATAGACGTCTTATTATTTTCTATATTCTACCCTGTGTTTCCTGTAAGGTCTCTGGAGTATAGGTGTGTTATTCTTTAATACTGTTTTATGCCTTATCATGTCCGTACATTTTGTAGTTTTAATCTTCTACAATGCCTTAACAACTTCAGTAGCTCTTCTTTCTTGTCTTGCACTACTGTTTCAAAGTTATCCTAACCTAATTATTGTCTTTGTTCTTTACTGCATTCTTTGGTAATGTTACTTTATTTGTATTTAGAACTCTCGTTGGTATAAGACTACTTTATTTGTATTTAGAACTCTCGTTGGTATAAGACTACTTTATTTGTATTTAGAACTCTCGTTGGTATAAGACTACTTTATTTGTATTTAGAACTCTCGTTGGTATAAGACTACTTTATTTGCATTTAGAACTCTCGTTGGTATAAGATTTCTCCTAGATTCTTCTATTTCTACTGATGCCTCACCACCCACCGCCAACTCTCGGGCTACTCATTTACCAACGAATAGTGGGATTGACCGTGACGTTATAACGACCCCCATGGCTAAAAGGGTGAGCATGTTTGTTGTAATGGGGATTCGAGATTGGGAGTCAAGCGCCCTAACCACCTGGCCATGCCAGGCCCGTAATTATGTAAATAAAAATAACTCTCTTAATAAGATTACATGCAGACAAACTTCTTGTTGGGAAGACTTGTATGTTAAGGAGTTGTGCTAGATGTAGATTAAAACTCTCAGTTTAAAGCTATGGCCATGATAAACATTAATTCCTCCTTTCAGAATAAACTACGGTATTGCTCTATGCCCGAATGATAGAGTTAGAGACGTAGCCAGCACTTACTGATGGTGAGTGTGTGTTGGAATGAGAGAGTATTTGTCCTATTATCGTAGCCTAAATGAAGTTTGTAAAATGAAAGTATTCAAAACTTTTGATAACAAAAACAAAGAGAGGTTTAGTTGATAATAAGCTGCTGAGTTATAATATTATTGGGCAAGTCTTTTCAAATAAAAAAATCAACGTGGACATTTTAGACGTTTCAGAATATTGGGAAATAATTATCACTCCGCCCCACCCCTTCGACCTCCTTAAAAGTATCTCGGATTCTGTAGGTCTATTTTGGTCGCGTAAACCAAAAGAAAAAAACGGATAAAATTATAATGTTAAGGAAGGTTTGTTTGTTATTAAACAGAAAACTACATAGGGGAGTATCCGTGTTCGGCCTATTGCGGGTATCGAACTCAGAAACGAGCCGGTGTCTCACTTTTAACCGTACTTTACATAGTTGTTTGTGCAAAACAAGTGATTAACCATCAGAGACAAATTTGTGATAACTATTTTATCTTCAAAATGATTGCAAACACAAGTATTTCAAATCACCGTTAAAGCAAGATCAAAACATAAAAATCTATACATTTAGTTAAAATTTAGAACCCATTTGCATAATGAGAGAAAATGCAGTAGAAACGAGTAATGAGAAAACACACTCATTAGACTCACACCTATTGGTTCTATCAAATTTTGAAATCTGAAATACCAATTGAAAACAAAGTAGTCACATTTTAGTTACTTTACAAAAAATTTTGCTTTAGATAATTTATTCACTTTATTACTGTTAGGTTAATTTTTACTTCAGTCTAGCACTTATTAGATATTGCTTACTTACAAGTTTGGTATAGCTGACATTGATTGGATTATATCACATGCAACAACAACAGACGTACATATCTAGTAGTTTCTATGAAAATGCTCATTTGTTTTAATCTTTATTCACCCAGGAGTTGAGAGCAAGAAATCTGCTTTCTTTGAATTTTATCTATAGTGAGTAACAAGTCGTAATTAATTTTATCTGTAACGAAGGAATTGTGCTGATAGTCATCGTGGGTAGTTACAAACTCTCGAATCCAGCGTGAAGCGGTCATCAGTTTTCCTATATAAACAATAAGTAGGCGAAAAAATTTATACACTTCACTTTAATAATTTGTAAACGTTCAGTTTAAACACACTTGAGAAAAGGTTCATACGGGTTATTAACAATAAAATTAAATTTAAGTTAAACAAAGTCACATTAATGTTAAGAATGGGAACAGCCTAAAATTTTTCAATAAATATGGCCAACTTGTTTGGAAACAAAAATGTTTTTTTAATACAACTTTTTATTTGGAGTAAAAAAAGATCGATTAATCACCTAGTAATACAAAAAATATGAAATAAATATTATCTGTATTTAAAGAAGTCTTAATTTTTCTAGCTGAAATAACTTTTTATAGTGATGACAACAACGTATTAAAGTTGCGGGAACTACAAAGTAACTTTTCAGATGCCAATAGTCGTCAGCTCCATTTATAAAAGGTGAAGGGCGAATAAAAATTGATAAAACTTTGATATTTACAATTTTAAGTGTAAATAAATCAAAACAGGCTCTTCTATCACCTATTTAAAAACAAATAGTGGATTTCATTTAAAATAATTAAAAGACAATAAACTTGTGCAATATATACATTATACAGTTAAAAAGAGTACAACGCTGAAATAATTACACAGTAAATAATTTATTAAAACAGGAACCAGCCCTAAAATGACTATATGTTTCAGTGTTCTTACGCCACCATCTTCATAATCATTTGCATTCATTTCACACCCTCTAGACTTAAAACACCCAGAGTTTATAAAACATATGACCATTACTTTATTTCTTCTAAATCTAGACCAACTTTTGTTCAGCACAATATATTTGTTGTTGTTTTTCAATCTCTGTTGTTTCTCTAATACTTAACTCAAATTCCAACCCAACCTGATTTATCAGTTTAACGTTACTCCAGTTTATGACATGAGATGTACTTGTCACATGTTCTGCTAAAGCAGACCCATTTACATTATATTTATCTACCGCATTTTTATGTTCCTTAATCCTAAATATTAAATTTCTGAAGGTTTGGCCAATGTAAATTCGACCAAAGACACAAGGAATTTCGTAAATCCCACATTTACCAACTTCTTTATCTTTTTATACCCGATTAGAAGTCGACGTCGAAGAAAACTAACTCAATTGAACTTTTGGTTGAGTAAAAGTTGCATGGCAGTTCCACAACAATTACAGTGGAATGGAATCTAAAAAGCACGAAGGTAAAATCTATTATCCAACAAATTCATGACAAAATTCTTAGGGCCATGATTAAGAAAAATGAGGAAAGTTTAAAAAGAAAGTCTGACAATGAAATTCCAGCCTTGGAAGATAAATACAGTAAACTACTGTCTCATCCTTAAGTTCTTAACTTATTAAATGATAGTATGTCACCTAAGCAAATGGAAATTTTAAGTCTAGGCTTACATTTTTCAGTGAAAAGGGATTTTATTGTGTCAATAGAAACATGTTCTAAAAGACTAGAAGTTAATGATAGGATGAAACACACAGTTAGAACAAAAGTAGTTAACGAATTATTGAACCAGAAAGGCATACCTAAACATAATTTAAGTAATGGTGAGGTAGAATAGTTAGGGGCTTTAAATACAAAACAATGTAACATTGTAATTACCAAGCCAGATATAGGAAGTCAAGTTGTAATTTTGGATATAACAGTTTATGAGAACAAACTTATAAATTGTCAGAGGATGGTTCTTACAAACAAATGAAAATGAATCCCACCACCTTTGTTCATAATAGGTTAAAAACTGTAGTAGAAAATTCAGTTATTTTGACACTGAAAACAAAGAACCTCAAGGTTTATTTTAACCAGGTTTTTCGCGCTACCTAAAATCCATACAATTGGTGCCCCCTTTTGTCCAATTGTGGATAATAGGGGTTCATCGTTTTGTCCTTTGGCAAAACTGATTTCAGGTATTGAGTCTAGTCGAGATAGCAGTACATGTCAGACGTGCTTTACCTGAAGCTCTACAATAATAACTTTTTATTTTTTGTTTCCTTCTAGTGGGGCAACATCCCGGCCCTTATGAGGACCCGAATCAAAGGAAGGAAAATAAATCTTGCAACTACGATTGCAATTACTTCATCTGGCGTTGTCACAAGATCTTTAGGACCAGCCAGGACCATAGAGGATATTCAGGCCAGCTTACGGACCATTATTCCCGACGCCATTAGCGACAATTCAGTTCCTGACACAATACTTCCGGTTTCGGATACAGATTCATGTTATTTCATAGTCCCGCCACCTACCGATGCCAGCACAAAATCTGATGATGAACGTTTTACTACTATCCAAAGGAAGCCCAGGAAAATGAAGACTCCACGGGTAAGTACAAGTTCCGATGACTTAACACACACACACAAACATTTAACCTAGAACCCACCACAAACATCACACCATGCAGCACACCTACACCGGCAACCAATACATGTAATGCTGCAACAAAGAAACCATGAAACATTACAGCACTAATGGTTGAAGGAATTCCACATACCCTTCACCAACCACAAATTGCCACAGAGTTTAGAAACACTTTCCCACATATAAATTTAAGGAAATACGGCGTCTTCCCAAATGTGGTCTTGTTGTAGAATGTGACCAACCTGGCCTAAGGAAGCTTTGGTGGCAACACTAGACCATTTACACACCAAACACCTACCAGTTGCACAATATAGTCGTTAAAAGTGTAGAACTTGATCTTGAAGAAACATACATTCATGGTAGCATCTTTGGTGGCAACACTAGACGATTTACACACCAAACACCTACCAGTTGCACAATATAGTCGTTAAAAGTGTAGAACTTGATCTTGAAGAAACATAAATTCATGAGAATCTGGTAGCATCATATCTTTCCGTTCCAAACAAGAGCCACCACTGATTAAAATTTCATTTGAAAACAAAGAACATTACGACTCTCTACTTGCCAAGAGATGCGTCCTCTTTATAAAAAACAAACAAAAAACGCAAAAAGTAGCAATTTCTAAGCCATCTTTCAAACGTATCATCCAGTGCTTCAAATTTCAGAAAGTTGGGCACTCTAAATCTTACTGTAACGCTAACCCCAGGTGGGTAAGATGTGCAGGGTTGCATGATGTGGAGTGTTGACATAATCAGTGTGACGTGCAACTGCCAGGACTCCCACATAGCCAGTTACAAAGCTTGTCCCAAATACCAATACGTAAGAAGCAAAGTTTTAAATCTCCCTCATGCTACATAACAAACTAACGACACAGCCCAGTATACTCGTTTCGCAAACCCAACACCACAGCTCCAGCGTATTAGAACACCCCTCTTGTAAACTTCGCCATCATCTGCAATTAAAAGTAAAAGGTGATCCCGAAAGATTATGATGAAAAATTTCACGTTTTAAAAATCTGTATAATAAACAGCAAAAATATATTCAAGAATTAATTAAACCTCAGAAAATTAAGGATTTGGAAATTTTCGTATGAATTTAAATAAAGAAAAAGATATTAGGAATTTTGGGAAAATGTTTATTAATTATGTAAATGATAGTTCTGATAAAAATAGGTACTCTTATATTAACTTAAATAGTATAGTTGCTAAAACTGATAAAGAGAATGTCATTTTATTTAAAAATGTGATGGAAGAAACTACTAAAGACAAATAGTTCTCTAAATTTAATAATGAATGGTTTAATTATGTGAATGAAAGAATAAATGATTATAAGAGGTTAAAATTTATATTTCCAATAAATATTAATGATAACGAAAATAATAATAATACAGAAGAAAATCCTTTAAATTTTAATAATAACAATATTACATCTTTTGAAATAAGTAAAGCTTTAAAATTTATTTTAAAAATACCACACCAGGATTTGATAATATTAAATATGTAATGTTGAAAAATTGTAATATAGGAATTTACAATAAAACTGCCAATTATTTACTTTATCTTATAAGTCAGATTATATTTCTAAAGATTGGAAGTCTAGCGTTATTACT